TAGTCTATCTGAGGATTATATCTTTCTAACCACAATAATCCTAAAATGATTGGATTAGAAAGAGATTTAATCACATTAAATATTATTAAACTACTATGACTACTAATTGCTACTTCTATAGGAATAGTTTCATCTGTAACATCCTTAGAAGATAATGAACGTCCATCTATTACTTCTACATGTACAAATTTGATTTTCTTGATTAAGGATATATCTTTTTTTTTAACAAAGTCTTCATCTACAAAATAAGTTAAGGCTCTTGAATCCAAGAAGGCTAAAACTTTGAGATTTTTTGGTCCTAAACAAACTTCTATTATAAAACAAGGTGAGGGATCAGAGGATAGAATAGGACCTTTGCTAGATGTTGTATATGATTCCAACTATATGGTCCCTATTATAACTATAGCAACTCATTTTTCAATATATTGACTTCTTTGGAAATTATCCTTCTCATTTTGTAATTGTGTTATTTCTTTGGATAAAGTTAAGCAGTATGTTTAGCTTCTCTATAATATACGCATAAACCATCTTGACGTTGTCGACTTTTTTCCTACTCTATGAGGAATTTAAAACATACCGTATCAATTTGCATTGGTTTTGGCTTTGATAAATAAGTTTTTGAAAACTTAGGAGTTGTTGTCATTATTTAATTTGTTCTTCTCTAGCCATATTTTTGTTCTTGATATCTTTCAAATAATTGATTATCACACACAATAGCTTAAGTAATAAATTGTTCTAAAGATTCTATCTTTGGCATTGTAAGTAACAAGTCTTGAATATTATCCTTCAATCCATATCAAAATTGATTGATAAGGACTTTGTCATTCTAGTCCACGTCGCAAGCAAGGTTTTGGAATTCAGTAGCATATATGGTGGCTAACCATGATCCTTGCCATAAAGATAAGAGTTTGATCTTTACTACTCTTTCTCAATCACTTTCTTTGAATGAGGCCCTAAACACTTCTAGGAATGAATTCAAATTATAAAAGAGTCACAAATCTTTTTCTACTAAAGGTGCAAACCAAAAGAAAGTACTTCTTGATAGAAGTGAGCATATGAATCCAACTTAAGTAAATCCATTGAGGTACTGGAAAGGATGTAATCTTAGATAAAGCTTGACTTGTTGCAAAAATCCTTGAAATTTTAATCTTGTTCCATCAAACTTCTCAAGCATACTAATCCTTGTCTCCATCATATTTATAGAAGCAAAACTCCCTGGATTTGGTTATGAGGTCAATCTACTTGCTTTCTTTAACTACACAACTTCTTGTTGTAGACTCTGAATTTCTTCTATAGACGTAGGCATAGTACCTCCATTATTCACATTAGAAATATATGAGATTTCCACTCTTAGAGTGTTGATAAGCTCATGAAGTTTTGTAATAGTTTCAAATCTATTCTCACTTTTACTAAGATTAGCATATATAATCCTTCTTTCCATAGGCAACTCAAATAAATCCAAAAAGTTAAATTAGAGGAGGGTAATCCACAACCTCTAATAAAATTTTCTATAAAAGAGGGATTGTCCACTCTCTATAAAGAAAAGATCAATGTTAGAAAATATATATATATATATATATATATATATATATATATTTAAAGGTAGGTAGTCCACAACCTTCAAAATAGAACAATGGAAGTAAAATAATTCATTCACTTTTTAAATAAGACAAAAATAGTACATTAGCACTCTTGTCAAACTGTCAATGATATAAATCTTGAAAAAAGAAAATCTTCAACACACTCTTGTATTTCTAAAAAGAATTAGAAAGTCAGTGAAAGATGATATAATATTGAACTAGAATGGCTATTACCAAAAATAAGAAGATTAAAAAGCCTTGAAATAAGACTAAGGACTAGAAAGACGTCGATAAGAGTAAAGAAGGCTTCACTCTTGCCTCCATATATACTTTTAACAAGGAGCTATGTGGTGATGTCCTATAAGACCTCCAAAATATGTTGACTTTGTAAGACACATATCTTAACTTGCAAGGCAAGTTTTCTATATGTGTGCTACATAGTTAGCTTATTTCACAAGCTACCAATACATGGTTAGCTTGTTGACCAAATTTCTAACCTACTAATCTACTACAAATACATGTAAAGTTAAGTAGCGTCTATGAAGCTTTTAGGAAGCTTTTCTAAAAGGTCTTATGAAATTAACTTACTTTTATCTTCTTTTACCTATTCCTACCTAATTATATAGATATTTACTAATATACCTATGTATGTCTATGACATATATCTATGCTCTAAATTTGTCTTTTAAATCTAATTTTATTCCTATAAATATTATTTTTAAAATTTGATACTTTAATTAAATAAGGCATCACACTCCTTTTTATATGATTGAGCTTTACAACTTGGTTTATGATTTTCCATTAGTAAATATAAGCCAATGATTTAGAATTTAGAATTTTTAAACTTTTTATCTATGAATCTAGATTAGATCTATTCTTCTATTTTATTTTCATTTTTTTTAAAAAATCCAATAATTGACTTAAATCTAAAAATATTAATGATTTGTTAATATTTTTGCTCATTATTAATTTTAAATTTTAAAATATATATATATATATATATATATTTAGTGTTAAGATTTGTTCATTCTTTAAAAATAAAATTGATAATTTAGTCAATAGTATATTAATATTTTATATATAAGAATAAAGATTTTAGGATAAAACATATAAAATTTTAAGGTGCATATTTTAGGCTTTAAAAAATTTAGACTTCTTATTTCTTAATCTATATTATAACTACTTCCTCTATTTTCTACGTTTTCTATTTTTAGAGTCTAATAATCCAAGAGTAGATCCAAAATGCTTTAAAAGAATTTGGTCTTTTAAAGATTGATAATTTAGATTTTTTTTTGAAATTTATTAGTTTTTTCTTAAAGTCAAAAAATTAAAAAAAAAAAATCATGTTTTTAAAAAATACTACCTATAATTTTATTTAATTAAAATAAAAATTATAAAATAATCTATTAAAAACCTTAGATAAAACTACTATTTAGTTTTAAAAAAATAATAAAAAGTTGAAATATGTAATATGTATATTTATATATGGGTATTAATATTACTACCACAGTTTTTGCTACTACCACCATATGAAAATAATAAACATAAAAATAGATTTTTAATTTAATTTATTTATTTATTTAAAAAAATAATATTATATTTATTTAACTTTTATTTTAAAAGATTAGTATAAAATTATTCTTATTTACTACCCACTTTTTTAATGAGAATTAAATTAAATTTCTATGTAACATTAACATTTATTACATTTCATCTAGCAACTTCGTCATTTTCTTTCTAATTACTATCATGGTAGTATTTCATATTTATTGTTAGTCAAATCACTCTGAGATTATAAAGCATGCAAGTTTTTAAATAAGTTTTGATTTAATATTAGTGTAAAAATAACTAAATAAAAAAATAAAAGCAGAATGGATGTTTCACTTTCGAAAATAGTGAAAAAAAATTTAAATTATTTTAAAACTTGGATAAACATTTTTAATTTCAGAACACCTGAAACAATTTCTTGAAAATGCTACACAACTGTCTTCAAAACAGTATAAGATCTAATTTTCTTGCACATGGTTTATGTGGCCATAAAAGGAATATATATATATATATATATATATATATATATATAGACATCAAGTAAATAATGCAATAAAATTGTATTAAATTTTAAATATTGTGTTTTACAAAAAATGCAAATAGATTTATTTGCTATTAAGTTTAAGTGAAGAGAAGTTTCAATTCATCCTTGGTGTTGTTAACGTTAGTTTTAATTTATGTTGATCCCCCGTATTTCATCCAAGTATCTTACCAGCTTTTACAAAAAAAAAATTGAAAAAACAACTTCTCTATTCCAAAATCCCAACCATCAAATTAATATGGGTTTATGTTCATACGAACCCACTTAGGCAACCAAGACATAAAGTTTGTTATGAATCTGATTGTATTTTGAATGGATTAAATCCAGAGCACAGTCATATTCCGCACCCAGGAATCTCTTCTTTCCTGAGTCATCTCTTCAATTGTTACATCCCAACACCATTCCACTGCACAATTGCATTACATTTCCTGCATCGTCAACAGCTGATTCTGCGATTTTCACAGCACCGAAGGCTTAAACAAGACAGAATGGGAATGTTCTCCAGCATTGAAGAAGGTGAAACATGTGTAAAAGATTATGCCACACGCGCTGGAACTCTGATGAGAACTGTACCGATGGATTCAATTCTAGCACAGTCATGTCCGAAGCATCCAAACCAGGGAAGAAGACAAACTGCACTTCGTTGTATGAAACAGTGGCATCCCTGAACTTCCACCTCCGCAGGCTTTCTTGTTGTGTTCTTTGTTTGTCGTTTTGGACCTTTCTCATTCTTTCTCGTGATTGAATCCTTAGGCCACTTGCAGATTTGGGTGAAAAGCATTGTATGAGGCATGTTGATTGTCTGATTCTCAAGTTGGGTACTGCAACGTCAACCTACCCACACACTTGGCACACGCATGTGGGTACTATATACACAGTCGCTTTCTCTTGTCAGAAGGTCACAATTGTAGAAAGATTGTGCATATCTATGTATGTAAATTTATCCATAGATATGGATAGAAATAAACATAAAAAACCCTGGAACTACTACGGTTTTCACGTGCATTTTTACTCATTCAGCAGAAACATTGATGTGCGTGCATCGATTATATAGATATAGATGTGTGTGTGTGTATCTTTTACTGAAGACTGAGCAAAAGATATCAGGAAACTAAGGACAAAACGTCATAATCCTCAGACTTCGGTGACCACCCTCTGATGTTGAAGCTGAATTGGTCATCAATATCATCAGAGTGGAGTCAAAGCACATGTGAAAAGTATCATCTCACTTGCTGCAAATTTAGTACGGTGATGAAAGTCTGTGCAATGGCTCTAGTCGAGTCAGGAAGTTGAGTGATTCTGGAATGGCATGCCTGGGGAGGAGTTCGAGGTCACGGCTCCTGGATGCCAGCGTTGAGCTGCACTTGGTATCTCCTCCTTCCATCTCTCGGCCTGTACTTGCACAATTTGTCTCTTCCTGTGGCATGCACATCCCCAGCTGCTATATAAACATCCCGGCCTCATGAATATATCATCATCTGTCCCACGGTGTTACGTAGCTTGCTGCGCTTGGAGTGGTTCAGTGTTTTCTAGCGTACAAAAACAGACGGAGAGATGGCCATGTCTATGCAAGAACTCTTCTACGGTACGAGTGAGCCGGCCTACTTCATCCACTATGGGCGGCAAAACCCCCTCCCCTACTCTAACGTTCGCGACATTCAGGTTCCAAACCTCCGCAGCCATCGAGCCCAGTGCGCCACTTTCGACTTGATGGTGCCAATGTGCTGCGCCCGTTGCCAAGAACAGGTGCGAGGCTCACTGTATGCTTTGCGCGGCGTCCAGGATGTTGTTTGCGACCCGCACAATCAAAGGGTGACCATCGCTGGCTGTTTGGAGCCTGCACTAGCCGTTCGGCACCTGAGGCGGGTGAAGAAGGGTCCCACATTCTGCTCTCAAAACATATCTTGCGCGGCGTCCAGATATGTGGTATCCTCATACCAGAAGTCACACGGTGGTCAACAAGACAACAGAGATCGCAGGGGGTACGTCCAACTCGACACAAACGAGCAGAGGTCACACTCCGACCACAGCCACAACTCCTCAAGCACTGAGTTGTACACTCGGAGCTTCTGCCCAGCTCACAGACACACCACAGACACGCACTTCGCAAGCGTGCCAAACCCGACTATAGCAACACGAGAAGACTGGGACTGTTGAACGCTCATCGCCAAATTTTTGTACAGCTACAGTATGGCTCCACATTGGAGCAAAAACCGGTGAATAGTATACACATTGTCACAGAAATGAGTAGCCTATAGAAACCCAGGATCTGGGGCAAGAAATCGGCGACAGTTTCCTTTCTCTTTTAGTTGAGTATGGGTTCCATGAGTGTGTCACAACTGGGCGTAGTGGGTGAAACAGCCGTCGGGATTATCGCGAGCAAGTTTTATTGCACAGACATATGCTCTTACTACTTCACAAAATTGGGTGATTGTTTGAGCCAGAAAGGCCACACCCACCTATCGATTTCCTCACCATTGTCATGGATTCTCCGATTGAGATTTTCTCTACGATGCAACTGCTTCCATTATTTTAACACTAATACAAGAAGAATTACAACAGGAACATAGACGGAATGCTCTTATTCTCGCCTGCAGCTTTTAAACCTCAATCGTCTCCTCGCAATCTGATTTCGAAACGAGTCGATTTCGACGGCGCCGGCGCCCGCGCTAGACGAATTCGTACAGTCTGAGCATGGCGCGGTGATAGGTCCATGACGGTCATGGGTGCCACTTCGTTGGGTCACGCTTGCGCAGGACGTGGATTCGAGGCCTGGTTTATGGATTAGTAAGTAAACAGTTACTAATTAAGAGTTTAATTAGAAAGCACCAGCTCCCTAAACCACAGATAATTGAAAATAGCAACTCTTTATGTGAAGGTAATATGTTTGTTGGTTTGCAAATTGATTACATTCTCCCTTAAAAGTAAAATAGAATATTTCGAGACTTTAAATATGTTTTACATTTTTGAAGAAATATCCACTTTAAGTGTTTCAGTGATGCAAGTGTTTGGAATTTTCATCCAGGTCTGGAAGATTTAAATTTTATTAATCACTGCGGTGACATTCAATTTCAATTGTGGATGTGAAGTTATGATTTTTATTTGTTTAATTAGAAGAAATTAATTCAGATTTTAATTATGGATTCTTTATATAATTACGCTATTTTTTATTTTAAAGAACATTTTTGAATCAAACAATAATACAATCAACAACGATTATGCCAATACAATGAAATTGTGCTGCTAAAAGAGATATTAGTTTACATCAAATAAGGATTATGTGTTCTCTGAAGGCATTTAAGATATCTCCATTTACAAGCAATCATAAATTTGGATATCTATAAATAAACATTGTTGATATTATTTTTTATTTTTTATTTTTTTGTGGGAGCAAATTGTAGTGATTGATATTAACAAATTAGCCAACCAAACAATGTGCATAAGAGAACAAAAGTTGTACACCATAAACCATATGGACTATTTTTTTCATTTTCAATCCCAAAAAATTTAGAGTTGTCAACATCAAAGACATAAATATATATAAATATATATATATATATATATATATATATGTATAGAATGTTTTGTTGGCCTCATTCAACCCTACCATGACGTAAGAATTAAAATTGAATTGAACAATTATGTTTTTTTTCCTTTCACTACATGTTCCAAATAATATATTCTTTTTGTAAAAGCATATAAAAAAATTTGTTTAAAAGTCGTCATTCAAATTAGTTTTAAAAGTGGGATGCTGAATGTAGTATTGCAATTTAAATGTAAAACATTGTTTGATAATTTTGAGCTTCTAAATTGAATTAACAAAGAGGCATGCAAGAGAACTCGTATGAAATTTTTTGGAGGAGTGTGAAAATATTTATTCATGCAGTCACACTCGTATCTAGATGCAGACAAAAGTAAACAAATAAATAATTTAATACAAACCAGTGAAAGGAGCTAGTGATGATTAAACATATTAAAAAAGCAGTCATAGTTTTCATAGCAATGATCTTTTTCAACATCACAGAACCATTGCATGGAAGCAATGTTGACTAATTTCTAAATACAATATTTCAAGAATGCACAAATGACAGAAACCTATTCCACTTGATATTAAAACTGTTGAATATGAAATGGCACCACCAACAACAACAACAACATAAAAAAACATGAATTAAAAATATTAAAATGTTTTACATTCTTTAAAAATTTAGAAAATATTAATTTTGGGTGCAATGTCTATGTTTAAAATCTAGTGCTTTCCATCCATGATGAAATTTTGAATGATTCTACGATTCTAATAAATTCCAAAGCATGTATTTTGGTTTGAAAAGATTCAAAGTCAAACCCAAAATATGAAGTTGGGAATGGGAAGAATGAAAATGGAACTCAATGCCACCATTAATGGTGGTGGCACAAATGTGTTGGAGATTAACTAGTCAATTCAACAATATGAATATACATATACATATATATATATAATAAAACTACCAATATCATCAAAAATTGTGCTGTTCACGGCCGCAAAAGACTTTTCAACAAAAACATTTCCCCAAACTCCATATCTACATTGAATCTATGAAGGTTCTATAGATTGAGTCAAAAGGAATGGAGGAATGGGGAGTGGGGCTTCATTGCCGAGAAGATTGGATGTTGATGATGTTGGGAATGGGGTGCCCCTACTAATGGGTGGGGGCCCCCACAATTGCACAGAATTGTATAGAATCCATACAATTAATATAGAAAGTCTGTGCCAGGCTTTCTATATTTTGATTGTTTGATTTAGGTTGTCACAATTATTCAGCTTCCATGGTTGACATAAACAAGTTATATTTAGAGAGTTGAAAGAAAGAAAGAGAATAATATACTATAGAGATAAGTAGATGATAAAAAAATATTAATAATAATAATGATTTGAAAAATGAAAACATTTATACAATGCATAGGTTCACTTAAATGAAATTTCAATAACTTTGACTGATGGAAGTGTAAGTAGTGATTACTATCATTTCTGAATGATAAATAATTAGTACGATATTTATTTATTTATTTTATATATATATTTTTTATTTGAAACTGTTTTATTCTACAAAATTTTATGAGGAATGGGGCAGAGAAATATATATATATATATATATATATATATATGACAAAACATGTAGCTTGATCTAAGACTTTGAACTGGTAAAATCTATTGGATTGGCACAAATTCTTTTACACTATGCATTCTAAATTTAACTTTAATTTACATATTTAAATCCTTTCATTCTAAACTAAAAGCTGCACTCTAGATATATCATTTCCTGATTTATGTTTGTTTTTCACATTTTTAGACAAAAAAGCATATTTGGTATAAGTTTAGTTTTTATCTATGTATACAAAAGACAAAAAATTAAAAGTATTTAATTTTATGTATAAATAAATATATAAATAATTATTTATACACATGAAGAATGAAAAATATCAGATGAAGAAATTGTATGTATATTTATTCTTGTTATTATAATTTTGTACTCTGATTAAATATATATTTTTAGTTAAGCTCATTAAAAAATAAAAAATAAAAATAAAAATTTGAAGAAATTATAATATTTTTAGTGTAAAATTAAATATTTAAACATTTGCTATTAATTATAGTTAAATGTAAAGAAAACTTGGAACTTCAAAAATTGTACATTATTCAAGATACATTTTTTCTACATTCTTTTAATTTTGATCCTAATCTTTGTTGAAAACAGTGTAAGAAACGTTTTTATAGAATACCTTAAAATAGTATCAAGTACATATATATGTTCTTTTTTATTTTATTTTAAAAAAATTAGATAGTTTGTATATTATATCATGTTATGAGTACTTTTATTCTTTGTATACATAATAATTATGTTTACCTTTGATTGTAAGATCATTTTTTGTAAGATCACTATCTTAAGATTAAGGATTTAGAATAAAATAAAATGCATTGGTTGAAGATAGCTAGTGAGATTTGTCTTTATTGTTAGAACCTAAGCTCACAAGGGTGTAGTCGAGAAGAAGTTGTAAACCACATTGTAAATACTTAGGATTGGCAGTTGGGATACCTAAAATGTTATTTGGTACTACAACAAAGAGAGAACGGAGAGAAGCATTGGAATGGAAGGTTGTAACAAAATTCCTAGTGCACATGCAATCCAAGTCTCACTAAAGTTGGGAAAAACAAACTCCACTAGGCAAAATTGATCATCATGGAAATAAACGCGTGTCTTTTTTAGGTGTCTTAGCTTCTCTGCCACAACATTTGAGAGAATCTTGCTATGGAAAGTACATTAGTAGTTTTAATTTCTTTGTGCTAATATTTGTAGGTACTAGTAGTAGCTATTGGTGACTTTTTTTGAAATTGAGATCATTTATAATTATTTTTTCTATAAACTTTCTCAAGTTAATTCAATATTAGTTTCAATCTCTTACTTTTTTCAATTTAATATTGTTACATAAGTAGGTTTTATTAATGTAATAAATTGAGATAAACATTACTAGGTTCAATTGTTTATCAATTCATTTGATGTACCATTTAGCTTTAGTGCATCTTTATTCTTCATATTAGATAGAAAATCCTAATTTTAAGATTTTAGTTTCCAAAGTTTGTAACCTAAATAGTCTAGTAGTAAAAAGATATCAATTCTAAGATGTATAATTCATGCACATCAAAATTAAAGGTGCAATTTTTAAAATCTATTAAGTTGGACTTGAAAAACCTTTATTCTAGGTATTGATATACAATAAAAATTTACATTGGATTTTATTGTGGCTAAGAAACACACTATGAATGTCTATTACTTAAGTTTTTATAAAATATTATCAAATAGTAGTAGATAATATCTTTAAAATTAAAGAAATTAGATTAGATTTTTTATTATAAAGGAGACGATGGTATTTCTAAAAATCATTGCTTAGATGCCATGAACTTGCTACTAATATAGTAATAGTTATATTTAATAAAGATTCTTAATATTTAAAAGAGTAAAAAAAGATTGATAATTATCATAAAATGATATAATAAGACTTACATATAGTTTCTATATAAAATTGCATTAACTTTTAAAAATCTAAAAGATAAAATCATAAGTACAAATAAGAATAATTTTAGGATTATAAGATTTAAAATTAAGGATTTTAAGATTCAAGGTTAAAGATTTGTGGTCTTAGGTTTTAAATTTAGGAGTTTAAGATTTAAAATTAGAAATTTTAAGATTTAGGATTTAAAGTTTAGAGTAACATAGATGTCTTTAATTTATATACATTCTTATTTTTTAAATTTTGATTTGAACTACCATCTTATTTTAGTTATCTATTATTTTAATGGTAAAATAAAGTTTCTCTATAAGTTCTCAATTTGCAAGATATCCCAATTTTGACTTTGACTTTTGAATTTTACTTTAATTTTAGATGACTTTAATAGTTTAAAAAATATTATTGGGTACATTTGAGGATTTTTTACTTTAAATATGTCTTTGAATTATTCTAAAATTTTATACATTTGTAAATATTGAAGATTCAATCATTTTGAATTTTAAGTTAAATTTGAAAATGGATAGGATTTTATAAGTTTTGATATGACCATCTCCCTATTTTAGGAGTCTAAAAATCTAGTGGTGGACTTACAATGTTCTACAAAAATTTAAAATTTAAATATAAGGCTTTTGATTTAATAATTTTTTCTATTGATTTTTTTTTTTAATTTTTTTAAAATTTAAATGATTTTGATCCTTATAGTATATTTAAAATCTTTAAAAAGTCAATAATTTAGGAGATATGAGGTTTTTAACATTATAAAAGTATTTTATTTGATTTTGTTTTAAAAAATAAAATATAATTAGATAGCTCATAAAAGTATGAATTTACTTTATGGTCACAAAATTTTATATTTATAATAATTTTTAAATATACTTAAGATACAAATCAAGTAAAACCACATAATCCTTATTCTAGAGCTATGCAATAGATTGTACATTTTCATGCCAATTTGCACCATATTCTCTAATAAAGTAGAAAATCCTTCCAAAATAATCTTCACCTATTTTTTTATTTTTTTCTATTAGTAATTATAATTATTTTTCTTTAACATCACTTTATTTTTTTTTTATCTACCATTCTATTATGAAGAATCAAATATACATTATGAAGAAAATTAAAGGTGATGTGACAATTACTTGACTTATTTTGCTCCCAAATATCATAACAAAATTGGCCCTTTGTCATAGACATATTGATACTAGTGATTACTAAGATAAGAGGAGTTAAAGAAAAGTAACTAAAATTAGGTAAAATTAATAATATCTTTTAGATAGGCTTCTTAGAAACTTTATAGATAAAAACTATTGAAGTTTACTTATCCAAGTTTGTCCAAATAAATTATCAATTTATATTTTTAAAAAGTATTAGTACTAAAAATTCTATATAATAATAATGTTTCTATCAATTCAATAATTATATTAAAATTCATCTCTAATAAATAGATTTTTGGGATCTTTAAAAATATTTTTAACTCTTTCAAGAATGTTAGAGTGAAAAGTTGTAACTTTGTGAAAATTGAGATAAAAATCAATGAGTAGAAACTTTAGATTCTACTAAAGAAATCTATCTCAAACATCATAGAATGACTTTAGAAGTTTAAGTCCAAGGTATAAACACATTTGTGTCTACACTTTGTTAATTTTGTTCCATATTTTTAAGTCAGGGCACCGCTTATGCTTTGGAATTAATATCTACCAAAAATTTGAGAGCCATTGGCCTTGAACAATTGCTTTGGCATTCATCATTTTGTATCAAAGGAATTGTTGAATATTAACATGCCATGGTTGTAAGGCACCTACAACCTACTTATTTAAGAGAACTTTAGTGACTTTTTGTGGGTCAATTATACCAAATCTACCTTCAACCTAAGTCTTATGATATATTGACCAAACTACTTGAGCTAAGGAGGAAGTATATTTCTATAAAAATTTATAATTATAGATTTTATTTTACAAATAGCCTTCAAAGTTTTGCCCATATTATTATATATATAAAAAAAAAAAAAAAAAACAAAACAAAACAAACAAACAAAGAGAATAGTAAAATGCTATTAAACCTTGCTGCTTCACAATAGTACCATACGCTTAATCGGTCCTGTATTCCTTCATACTATTTTTGCATAAACGGTCTCAAAAGATTGATTTGAATAAATTGTAGTTATCGCAATAAATTGTATGTCATCTGCCGTGGTATGAGGTGACTCAGATTTGAGGTAGTCTTGAGTAGTTGAGTCAAGTTTTGCTTTTGTAGTGGTAGTTTGTTTTTCTCTCACGAGCCCCTCTCCTCTTCTGTCGCACCAAAAATAAAATCGTCAGCGTCAATATGTGTAGCAGTGTATAAGTTCTGGTGGTCATGGACATACCTTGAGGTTGTTTTAACGAGTCAAAAGTAGAACTGGTATTATTGAGATTTGGTATAATATTATGCCCATGTTTGACAGAACATACTAGTTGACTAGCCAAGTCTATTTAGTCTCAGCCAAGGCCGCTCAATTCTTTATGCAATGATCCGTCTCTAAACAAATCGGTAAATTCAAGAAATCTATAAAAAAAATTAAAATTAAAATAAGACATTTCTTTTTGTTCATTATAGTCTCAAAACATAAGAAACAAGCAGACCAAGGAGATAGAAGAAAAAAAAATGCAACAGCTACAGGATTTATTTTTTATTTTGTTTTAATTGTAAACGGTGTTGATTTGCCGTGGAATGGCAGAGAGGATGGCAAGTGTGTAGAATAATTGGAGCAGCACGGGGCAAGTGGCACATCCCCTCCCCTCGTCTCGCAAATCAGGGCACACTCGATCTGTGCAACTCCGGCTTCGTGATCTTTGACCACCAACGGTGACGCGAAAATAGAAAAAAAACAACGTCCGCATTGAAAGCATAATTCCTCGCAGACACAATCTACAGGAACTGAGTTCCAGCTCTGATCCCCATTCTTCTCCATCCCTGTGGCTTAGTTAAGACTTTACCACCCAGACGCGCCCCCAGTTTGCAAGTTGCCCCTCCCTTTCCCTATTGCCATCTCTTTTAAAGCTTCACAGTCGCGTTGTTTTCTGCTCATCAGTGACTAGGTACCCTTTCGTTCAATAGCTCGTAAGAACTGCTTGTGGAGAACAATCTGAAACTTACAAAAAAGTCTGCTTGACTTCTAGAAATCACAACGATTCCGGTCAAGTGTTGTAGTAGAGACTGACAGTTGGTTTGCACGATGGCGATGTCGATGCATGAGTTGTTCTACAGTGAGATCATACCTGTGTACATGGTTCATCGTGGGTGGTTATCCGCCTCTACACGCCGGGGATTGTATACATGTGCTGACCAGTGGATGTGACCCAATTGTCCCATAGTCGACGAGGGGAATGTGTCGCTGTCGACTTGGTGGTGCCGATGTGCTGCACCCGATGTGAAGATCAGGTGCGAGATGCTCTCTATGCTTTGCGCGGCGTCGAGGGCGTAGTTTGTGACCTGTACAATCAAAGGGTTACTGTCGCTGGTTACTTGGAGCCTGCACTTGCCTTGCAGCAATTGAGGCGGGTGAAGAACGGTGCCTCATTCTGCTCGCAAATCTCTCACGGCAGGCAGCACAGATATGAGGTATCTTTGTACCAGAAATCACACAGCGGCCGTCAAGACCAAAGAGATCGCAAGGCGTATGCTCAACTCGACACAATCGAGCAGAGGTCACACTCTGAAAATAGGTACAATTGTTCAAGCAGCGAGTCGTACTCTCGGAGCTTTTGCCCTTCTCATAGAGACACCACAGGGACGCACTATGTGAGCGTGCCAAACCCAATGATCGCAACACGCGTGGAATGGGAATCTTGAAGGACGCTTCGAATTTTCCAGTATTTGTCCATTGTAGGTAGAATGAGGTATGGAGTTGTGAATAGCGGTAAACAATTTTTTTTTGCTTAGAAGCATTTGTGTAGAAATCTCAAATCCCCTGTGGAGATTCACAAGGTGTTCAATGTGGAGAATTTTAGAATTCTAGATCCAGAATATTGGATTAGGCTCATCAAAGTGCGCAAATAGAGTCTGGTGTTTGAATTTTGCTTTGGAGTGGCCGTCGTTCAAAGCCAATTCCCTTGTCAAATACTTTGCTGCGAGGTGATCGTCTTTGTCTTGGGGTGTCGAGAATACATGATTTGTGTTGGTGGTGATGAACACACTGCAATGGGAATTGAAATGGCATGCGATAACGTGTTAAACCTTGATTGAAGCTCAGTTCGGCTTTGGAATTCTGACCTTAACTGGTTTCATTTATTTCTGTGCCAAGTTGTCTACTGAAGTTTTTCAACTCTTGGGTTCTCTTTACCATTTTTTCAAGCAATAGATCGTGGGTACATTGTGATCGATTTGTTAGTGTGGGTAGTGGAGGAGTTGCGAAAATTCATTGTGCAAAATACATCTTCAAGTATGTACGAGTGTGTGGTAGAGGATTTTGATAACGATCACTGCCTGGTTTGTATGCCACTGGAACTATTTATTGAGTTGAAAGCTAGCCGGAAACTGGCCGGAGGTGAGGTGACCTCATAGTGATGACTGAGACACTATGCTTTTAACTTCCTTTTTTGCTTGAAATACATTGGGAGGCTTAAACTGGTCGGATAGTACCACATTTATGTGCAGATAAATAGGAAGCAATGATCAGGTAGTGACCATCTAATTGCTTTTGATGGCAACCTGGAGATGTTGACAAGGATGTTCATTCCACAAGATGAAAACGGAGCTGGTCCTTATTAACAACTAAAGCGAAGGGCATATTCATCTGTGGTTTCATTGATACAGAGTCTGACTAGAAATACGAGCTTTCCATGACCATTCGTTAGTGAGAGTTGTTCGGAGAAGAAAAAAATAGGGAGTGTAAGTAGAAAGAGTTGTTCCCACTTTAAGGGCTTCTGGCTTAAACATGATTGCACAAAGTGTTTGTTCTTGGTTCGGAAGTGACTGGTCAATTCCATTTACCAAGTAACTTTCTCACACTGGTTTAAGAACAATGTTATACCTTGCTGAATTGTCCTCAACCGCCCTCATAATACCCATCACACAGTAGCACGAGCAGGTTGAATAAAATGCTCGTCTGCAATCTCCTATTAAAATCTATCCAAAAAGTAAATTTCTAATTTTAGTAATGCTCAGTATGCCATAGGTTTATGTTTTAGCAAAAAGTGCAACATGTTGAAGCTCTTGAATAATACCAGATACACCTCCAATCAGTCCAGCAATTGATATCAAAAGTGTTACAAAACTGAGGAGCTGGAGAAGTAGGAACTTACGGCTCCATCTCTGCACGTGCGTTTGCCTAATGTACATCTCCACCGGGTAATAAACTGTCAATGGCCAAAACCCAATGGCCCCAAGGATTCCCAAAACAGAGTTGAAAAATGGGATTAACATTGAAATTATGGTGGTGATAATGACGTAAATGGTACGCCAGATCAAGCGGAATGCGCTCACTCTGAAATTGCGCCTTCCTGGCAGTCTAACATTATACTCCAGGTTGAGAAATGAGTTGTTGGGCCATCGCAGAGAACACCATCGCTCCACGAAGGCATATACAGGTTGAGTGTAAACCTAGATTGAAAAGAGAATAAATTTAGAAACCGAGTTAGGGTCATTGCAAACATTAGTGAGCTGTATTGGTAAAGGCAATTCTACTAAGCGGCTGGGTTGAGACTGGAGAAAATACCATGATACCAAGCAGAGATAGAATAAAATCCAAAATGTAGAGATTACAGATCAAATGTTTATTGGTGTACCTGATAGGCACCGATAAGATGGATCACAATGCAGGTGTTAGCAAAATCCACAAGCCAATATGGAGTACTGAATCCAGTGAGCAAATTCCCTGGTGCAGCATCACCAAATGCCGCGTACCCAGCTATGGCCACCGACATGTAAAAAAATGTCGTGGTTATGATTCCAAGTAACGTGGCTTTTTTCATCTGAGAGGATTCAGAAGGGGGACTTTTTATTGTGTCCTGAAAATGACAAACACAGGACAGTATTGAAGTTAGCTACTACTTATGCGGGGACAAAGGGATATCAGACCGTTCATTCTCGGACACACAAGCAAAACAACAGAACCTGTTAAAAATGTGGAATAATCATCATTAATTGAACCTGAATCTCGATAAGTATCATGGAGAAAGAGTATGCGAAAGCCATATTTCCAAGAGCGGTGAACACATTCCACGTCTTTTGTGGTCGTGTGAAGCATGTTTCACCATTTGAAGGATAGCAAACGGATGTACCGCCCAAACTTCCATGAGAATTCTCTCCCGCTGTAAATCCAGTTTTCACATGTTATGATTGAGGTGACAAGAACTCCGCAGTCGCTGCCGCAACATAGCTTCCCAAATCATATAGTCCTAGTATAACATTGCATACATTTACAACCATCTCTAATTTTAAAAAGCTGGGACAAAATTTAAGTGGTTTCTGTCATTGGGACTTTATTTTGAAGCTTCTTAAGGCGAGTGAGGAGAGGATAAACTCGAAGAAATTGGCTACTAAGAAGACAGTGACATGTTCCTAAAATTTTAGCTTTGAAGAGAATATTGTAAACGCTTCACGTACAATATACAGGTGAACTTGGTGGTAGATGCAATGAAGATGACATTTCGTAGTCACCTCACAAAGACCAAATTTCGTGAAACTAGCCAACAGAAAACAAGGCACAAAGGAGGCTTCACTCACTTGCAGCTTTTGAGATACCGAGTCCCAACCCAATGAAGGAATATGTGAACGACATAGCAGCAGCAAGGTAAGAAAGCCACCAAAGCTCGCCAAAATTTGGAATTTGTGATAAGACTATCTGGATGACTCCAAATATCGCAATGTAAACTGTTGTTGACGTCAGGCATGGATCGTCAGGTCCATTGTCGTGAATACAATTCTGATACTGAATTGCCCTGTACCATCACAAACCCTGGGGTTTTTAAGTACCTTAATAAGCTTCATGTTGCAGACCAACTAACCCATCAGACCACAACAAAGACTCCGCTACATTTGGATCCGGTGTGAAAAGGGCGTAGTATAATTTGTTGTCAGCTAGTACTTGTCTAGAGCTTCACAGATATCTTTGGTTACCCACATTCACACCTTTACCAGTACACATTCAAAAATCACTTGCACACATACAGTCGAAGACTTATCACCCGTGAAGGAGGTTACTTATAAGCATTCAGCACTCAACAACACAAACCCCTCGACAGATTGTATAGATACAAAGCCCAACTAGATATGGTAATAAAAAGAAACTTATTTCGGAGTGGTTACAAAGCTTATACTATCATTCAAATACGTACTTTTCATTTCAATCACTTACTTGGCACTGGTTGCAGTGGCAATAGTGTAGCCAATACTTGTGCCAATAAGGTTACTATATTGAACACAAGCACAAACCAACTGCTGCTTTCTCCCTGCATCCATCCCATATCAGTCCCCGCAAAAGATATGTAAACATAGTTCAACACATGCTAACTGAAAAGCAATGGAGAGGAAGAGGCCAGTATAACCTCTAGGATTCTTTTTATACATGTGCGACTGTGAGAATGACCCCATCGAAATTACCTAAATTAGCTTTGATAGCATCCATGTATATGTAGTTACGCTTCCCGTGGATAGGGTCGGGGGACCGATAACAATCAGCGAGGAGTCGAGAGGTGTAGTAGGTACACCAAGCAAAAGCAAGAAGGACAATTGGTCCTGCAATCCACCCCATTTGTGCGAAGCTCCATGACAACGCCAAAACACCAGAACCTATGACAGCCGTTATAATATGGGCTGCCGAAGTAATGACTGTCCCTGTTGGTGCCAACACAACTGCGTCAAACAAATGTAGTAAAGCCTAACACAGCAAATTACACGCAGTGCTCAAGTCCAATCAAGCCACACACATCTAAATGCTCTTGCAGCTCTCGAGATCCTTTACTATCACTCTTCTTCTCTCATCAAAGTTAGAAACTAAAATCCTCAATTAACAATGGAACATATCGTTCATATCATCGAAGACCCACTAATGATGGCGCCATAATCCCCCAAAACTACTGGATATCATTGAATAGAGTCCCATCTTGTGCAGCATTTTCAAAGTACGCCACTGAATTTGGTAGTGATTAGACAATCCCATCCCAAGAGTGTTCTAAACTCGTTGAAGACCTCTTTGAGCTATTATCCACCCCAACTAAGAAGTCAACAAATATTTGCTTCGAGAGCTGGAGCTCTTGTCTAACAGAACAAATTGATGCTATCAATTGCAAGTCACGTTCAGTCTAACGTGTAAAATTCACTTCCGACTTGTTTTAGAAAAGAAAGCTCTTGAGAAAGGGAGGAACATAAAAAAAGAAGAGTGACCTTTGCGGCGAGGTTTTCCGTCGTCATCATTCAGGTTGGGATCATGAATAGGCTTGTCCACGCCGTCAAAACCAGCTCTGCCCTTTTCGCCATGCCCTAGAGCATTGTCATCTGTCTGCCCAAGTTTGGCGTTTCCAGTGAGCCCAAGAATGACATGGTCCCCGTCCATGCCACTAGAACTTGGTGCCTTGGGCAGTGAACGAATAACAAGCGCGGTCGAAACTACAAATCTTCGATTCAAACTTTACCTCTATTCTGCACGATTGCGAAAAGAAACCCCCGTTAGTCGAATTCTAAGAATATCGATCTCCCCACACTCAGTTAGAACTCTGAGGACAGCCGTGGTTGCCAGGTTACAGGAGACCCGGGGGTCTTGAATACCTGATCTGTTGTGCGCTATGCTACGACATTCCTTACTATGTGACGTCAGTGCCGCAATTATGACACAGAACCTGGGTTCCAAAAATCAGAAACAGAAAAAAACACGGGATTCACAATATTTATAGTTTCTTGCTACTTTGCATATTTGCATGATGACACTCAGCTTAACCTGATCGCAGATTACGGAGAACACAAGCTGCCATATCGGCTCAGCCCGCGCGTATTTCGCAACAACCTCATCGATTGGTACAACAGAGAGGCCGTTAAATTTATAACTAAATTTTCCGGTGTAACATTTTAATCCCCAGAATTTGTACGAGCTTCGACACCTCATTAACCCATCCGCATCTGCTGATACAGGAAAACCACATTTTACTACTCTTAGCGCTCACTATCTTGCAGAAAACAAGCTCCGAAGACCCAAAAAATATTCATATACAGTCACAGATTACTCTAAAACCTCAACCAAGTAATCGATCAATAACAGCCACTTGCTAAACAAGGATTACACTGGGACCTAATTTCCCAGAGTTGTGCATACTTGTCCTTCCTTACCCTTCTAGAATCCCCCAAACCACAAGCACAACCCCTAATAAGCCGATATGAGAAAGAGGAAACAAACAGAATACATGATTAGAATGCTATTCATGTAAGACGTTCGATGCTACATTTACGAGGATATATGTAGTAAGCTGGCTGGCCAGCAAGCTCGAGAACTCCAGGATGACGAGGGTGAATCTGCTGCTAAAAGCCACTTATAAGCACCAGCGTGTCTCAGCGCAAAAAATCTACGCCATGGAAGCACGACATGGCGCCCAGGATACTACCTGTACCGAAGCTAATATCTCTTTCACTAGGCTGCAAGCAGCGTCAGGATATACGTGGTGAAGCAGCACGCGAAGTGACAATGCGGCTTCATCACCATCTGCAGATTCTTCACCATCACTACAGTCGCTCACGGAGAATCTCAAACTGCGGTGGAAACCTGGACTTTCCATTGAATCTTCTCGCAGCCTGTCGCGTCGACTTGCACGGTAAAGTGTGCATGTCATTTTGATTGTGGGTAGCTTGCTAGTCATTGTCCAGAGATCATACGCTATATGGTTGCGGTGAATCTGGGAATTGTCAGATATTGTGCTTTGGATACTGATAGATGTCTCTCTTGGGTCACTTTCTCATTTCATGCACCTTCTTATAAGAGACAAAATTATTGTTCGACGAAATACTGCTGTCCTGATAGGTTTGTGTTGCACTGCCTAAGTATCGTATTTCATCAGTCAATTACGTAAGAAAATTCTCTAGCGCAAGAAACTTTTTCTTCCACGTAACGTTGTGATCTAATCCTCAAAATGGATTGTATTACGCCACCGTCATGGAGGTTCTTGGTGTCCGAACTCTTTTTTGACTCAAAAGAGAAGCTGAATACCAGGTTCGTTTCCGGAGAGGCTTGAGATTTGCAGCAGTAGGGGGCGTGGGCCTCCTTGACTGTGAGTACCCATACTCGTGTGAGCAACTCATTTGCTTCAATTGCCACATGTCATGCCCTGCAAAACGATGCAGTTGTTTAATTCCCCTATTTCGAATTATTCTCTGGCTTTTTGCCCCTCAGATTCCTCCTTTTGTATCTTTACAACGCACCACCAGGTTACGATGTAGCGTGCGCGTGTGAACACATTTTGTGCGGTGATGGGATCGTTGAACAAAACTCAAACCACGTGGAAAACATGTTGGGAATATGTGCTATAGCAGTGTGACAAGGCTCGTCCCCTTGCTGCTAACCTCTGCACTGCTAATCTCTCGCCATGACTTGGAAAAACTAAACGAAATGCAATTGCCCGCGTTTTCAGTTGCAGAAGCCTCCTGAATGCTCTAGGTTGAGAAAGTAGAATGCATCCAGGAAATGCCCACTATATCTGAATTAATAACTTACGTTGCTGCCGCAGATCAAAATCCTGAGATGCTGCCGGAAGTGTGAGCCGAGGTGGGACTAGGGCTTGTGGAATCTAGACATGGAAATCACTTTTGCAATGATAACGGTTACACATGGACGCCAATCAAGGGAAACCATACTCTAAATTCTGAGTGAGGTACATCTCTAGCGCTTACTGAGAAGCTTTCGCTTGAGGTTCCCAAGAATTGGCCCCACGTTTGAGGGTTACGTAAATTCGTGTCCATTCTGGAGGATTCGTGTAGCATGAACATTTGCGAGCCTACTCTCTTTGAACTGATTCTATTTGTACACGTGAGCAAACGGAGTGTGAGAGTTCCATCCTGTCAGAATTACGTATGCTAATCAAACCTCAAAGATATGCTCACTTCAAACACGAACACCTTCCAAAGCTGATCTAATCAATGGCTAAACAAAATCAAGCAGGGCTTAATTGGGACTAAAAACACTCAAATGAATTATCTTTTTCATTTATGGGTGTCCATGCTCTTAGAAGCACATGGGAGAGACTTGAGAAGAGTTTCTCAGATTCAATCGCACCTTCTCCTTCTTGTGCTTCTTTGCTTCTGAGTTTAAGGGAGTTGAACATACTCGCTCACCAGAACTCACTCGAACCCCATTCGATTGAAAGATTCATACAGTCATTTCTCCTTACACAACAAGGTTTAAGCAAACCACCATGTACGTATATGTGCACTGAACTCCAACCCATTTCATCGCAGCGTATTCACAAATATAAAGTTCAGCAGACGGTTGGAGAATTGGCATTGGTTATTTTTCGGAATTCTTTGCAAACGAATAGCTGCGCATTCAGGCACCTATCCACATTAAGTTTCTGCTCAATCTTCGTCAACCTGGCATCAGAGTCTTCTCGATGGGTCAGTGAAGCCACATCTGACATCAATCGGAGGTGCTAATAGTTCCTCGATTTTGAGATTAGCCTTCTAGGATGTAAAGGCTCTTCACAGGAAGGCAATTCAGACCCAGTATGTCTTGTTAAAGAGTTCCAACTTCAGGAATGTGAGATTTCCGGCGCAACATACAGATCACCTTCTCCTCATCTGCATCTTCACCGACCATCCAACTTGCAGCAAAATTGGTGACGCCCGACATCTTCAAAAAGATGCACCCTGAATAAATTGCACAAGCACTATTCTTTGTTGAGCAGACATTGTTATGCTACGTCTTCCCACAACATGCTGAACATAACGTTGAAAGTCATTGTAAAACTCACATAGCCCTTGATCTGCCTATATATATATATATATATATATATATATATCTTTATTTATCATAAACCCAACTTCTGCATCTCTTAACATTATTCCTCTACACTCCATTACAAAGTACTAAATCTAAAGACACAGACAGCTCCCTACTGTCATAAGCACTGAGTTGTAACCCAAGGATGTTAGAGATATCTGATGAGTCTAGAAATCTTGAACATGTTAAGCTCATCGAGATGCTTCTCCCCAGAAACAAAAAGTTCAAATTTGTGGTGGAAGTCTGCAAATGGTCTGAAACGCATGCGACAATGCTCTTGTGGACTTCATTGTGGTGAGTTGACCGAAACTTGGCATACATGTGTGCTGCAACGTAATAATGCCATGAACATGACGACCCTGTTCAAATTTCATTATGACAAAACTGTAGGCAATTAGCCCTACACGGAATTATTGCGACAACGGTAAAAACAAGATAAGGTAGCTCAACTGTCAGCTGTACTCGACGCACAATTGTATTGAATCCTGGAATCACACAGTTTGAGGTACGGGCGCTTTAATGTGTCCGAAATAATGTGCTCTAAAGTTGGTGAAGAAAAAAGCGCTATTATAGTGGTGATAGTAACTTCATTACCACCACTACCACCAAGCACACTCAATCCAGTGCAGTTATGCCCCTGGGGTTCTTTCGGCCGAATGTTCCATCGGGAAGTGCTTAACAACAGAATCTAGAGAGTTTTAAACTTTTGGGCCTGCATTATAGAGGTTCATAATTCAGCTGCAGAGAATGTCCAGGTTCAGTCATGATTGCATATCTATTCCGGAAGCGACGCAAATGGCACTCACAAACTACTAAACCATTCAAATATACTCAACAGGTTGGTGACGTGCAATCATTCAGGAAAAGCAAGGAGAAAGCAAGCGGATTCGCCAGACGGTATGCAGCACCAATAGCGTTATAGAACAACAGAAGTATTTTGCAGGAAGGCTGGTAAGTATTAATCGCTTTTGCAACAATGGTAATATGATAACAACAACGTCCCAGGTGAGTCAGTAGATAACTTCTGAAAAATGAAAATCTTTTCAAATAATACAGCCCGTGTTCATAAATCGTGCACAATTGTAGACAAATCCTCTGACTAGTCATTGCGAGCTCCGGCCACAGCGCGAAACATCTCATTCTCTTTGGACGGACGAGCAACACCGACCGAGATACCAGCTCCTTTCAGACCGCATGGGAAATATCATAGCTGCGGGTTATAGGCTAAACCCGAGTCCTACATTTACATGTTGCGGTTTTTTCAAAATTCTGTAAGCCGAGAGTGCTAACCCACGTTACACTGTCCCAAACTGCAAATCCCACAAACTAGGAGATAAGCAGAAAGGACTAAACATGGTCTAAATGATTAATAATAAGTAATGGACAAGCTCCCGACATGCTCACCGTGCCAGTGTCGGCTACTCTAACAGAATGGTAACAATGACAGAATGCTACAAGGAAGTTAATGGCATGCTGAGACCAGAAGGTTGATTGGCCAATCCTTCCAAAAAAAAAAAAATGTTATGCACAAAAACATCCTGCCCCAATAACGGAACAAAAAGAATCCTAGCTGCGTATCAGCGTTAGACAAAAAAAAACACCATAATCGACTGTTTTGTCAAATCCTCCACTCCAGCATACGTAATTGATCTCGGCCTAACAGCCACCCACTTTGCACTACACTCGTCGTTCTGACCAGCCCAAGGTGCAGATGATGACCAAGCTTCCAACTCCGCGGCATTCCCTAACCTCTGATCCAATCAATCCACTATGTGACAAGTGGTGTAATCAGGCGAAAAAGCCCAGTAATGCCGCAATTCCTCCCTGAAAAGAGAAGGATTGTTTGTCTCAATGAGCCACAGCAGGTGCTCGAAGAAGGCCACGTCACAAGCAATAATCAGCCCTCCGTCATGCTTGTAACCAAACTCCGCGGCCGACTTCTCCAGCAGCACGCGGAACGTAGCGTGGTTCAAGGTCTTGGCTCTGATCACAAACCGGCGCCGCTCATCGCCCACATACACAACCAAAAACCCAGCCGGCACGTCTTCGGGCACCCGACCTCTGCTATCGACCTCCGCATCGCTGAGCATGTTCTGGTAGAGCGAATTCCCGCCGGCGACGCCATGCAAGTGCAGCCTCTGCAATGCCTTGTGCATCTTCTCTGACACCCCTATCCTCATTGTGCGACCGCTAGAACTACTGAATTCCACACGAACCATAAAATCACAATAACACTGTCCGCACTAGCGTGAATCCAACCCCCACCTCGTGCTGCTTTGTGCGCCAAGCGCAGACGGCGAGCGCTGGCGATGGCGTTAACACAAGGTCGAACTTTGCTACGCGGGGCTAATTTGCAACACCGTAAAATGCCAGCTCGGCATACCGCTGTTTCTTTTCGATGCGAGTGCCACGAACTTGAATCATATATGTTTTCCTACCACATATCCGACACGGAAGGTGCGCGGGATCCACGCTTCCGAACTAAAAGCCGTGTTTCCTGACGGTACCGATATAGCATGAAAGCGTGGCGGTGGACGAATGAAACTTTCGGGAGTCTGCTTGAGGATGCATTTTTTGGGGTGGATGGATGATATATCCATTCATTCATGTGTAACTACGTTGAACATCGAGGGCGTCGAAGGGCACTTTTGAATGACTTTGCACACGGTTTAGGAAGTTGCTCATCGTGGATGAATGAGAGTATGGGTGGATGAATATATGACTTGGTTGGATGGATGATAATTCTGATTTCTTAAATCATGTATTATACATCCAAGTCTTAGAAAGTGGATAAAAGCTAAATAAGGTAACAAACAAATTTGTTTACTTGGTTTTAAAAATATGATTAGATTTTTATGTAAAATCAATAAAATGTCTCTAAAATATATCCAGCTGAACAATAGTTGGACAAATAATTGCACACTCGAAGTAATTTTTTTAAAATTGAATAACTAAATCATGCAATAATTCTCCAACTTCAGAATATTTTTCTCAAGGTGTTTGATTCAGTTATTAATCATATTTTGAAACAGAATGTATTAAATTAGTTTAAGTTTAAAATAAATCTTAATTATCAAAAACTGGACTGATCAGTCTCATGAATACAAATCATTTTTGTACTGTCTGTACACCAATGAGACAAAACTTGCGGGCATGAATTCAAACACATGGTGCAGAATCAAAACCTGGACTAAATTAAAACCCCACTTCTCCAAAAAGAAAAGACAACAAAGCGTCAAACATTAAAAAGACGACAAATCAAACCACGTGCCTCCAGCTGGCCTTGAATTTGACTGATCCATATGGACAGCTTCAGATTCCAATACTATTAACTACAGCGTCATACGCTCCGAAGTAGGATGCAAATCATTAGAAGAAAAGGAGAATTAAGGTCGTCGGAATGCGTCACTTATGCAACAGACATCAGAAGCGGGCCGAGCACAAGGCGAGGCTATTTCGACACATATCTTCACGTCGAAACAAAAGGTACGCTGCAGTCTAAACTATTGGCGCCACTTTTCAGACAGACTCGTTGCCTAGAACGAATTCAATCGCGAGAACCGAAGCTGATCGATCAACTGAGCAACAATAACACAGTCTCCACGGCACCGTAGGGTCTGTTCCGACGCGGTTTGGCGACCACAATCTGGTCTCAGGCACCTGCAGTCAATGCAACCTGCGTACAGCACAGAATCTAAAGTGGGACTCCTAGCATCTAAGCGGTTCATCAGCGACGACGCTATGAATCTCTTTTTTGCTCGCTGGCACTGGATTTCGGACCGCCCACCCTAGATTAGAACGCACCACAGTTGCCTGATCCGTTATGGTCCCATCCTTGTTGAATAGCAAACTTGAGTTTAAGACTAGTTCAGGTTCAGCTTAGATCGGGTGAACCGTGAGAAGAAAACAGTGGGAAGCGAGAGGTGGGTCCCATTGGCGGATGCTGCGAAGAGTCCGTGGGTAGGTGAGGTTCCTAGTCTTAGGCCTATTGAGGAGGGTAGGTGGGGAGTTAAGTAAAGCGGGCTGCTTCTGGCATGAATGATGAATCACGAGACGGAAGGTGAAGGCGGACCCCACTGCAGCACGTCCTTTCCAGTACATCCTTACTGTGGGCGATGGCTGGCCGTGCGAGAGGAGTTGGACTTGGTTCAGACCAGGACCCCACATGGTTCCGTTTCGGTCCATTCCGTAGGCTTCACTCAGGTCGGTCCTCTCGCTTTCCACCATCGCTTTCTCGTCCAGGTTTTACTGAACAGATACCACCCGTTCATTTCGGTAAATGATTTCATACGTGGATGCGAGATTGTTCAGGTCGGTGTCGCGCCCGTGTTATACCTGATACCACTACTTGAAACTTTACGCATGCTTCTAAAACGTTCTTGTGGCGTTTTCTTTACTCGCCGTGTAAGGAAATTTGATTAATTTCAAGGTTAGTTTAGTTTTGCTGTTGTAGACGCGTGGCTCTCACTGGGTTCTCCATATACCTGGTATTTGGTTGTATAAAATTGTGTCTCTCTATAATGGGCGCCGTTGATAGGATGGGTTTCCGCTTTGCAATTAAATGGGAGCATGCGATGAATTTATTGCCTCAAGTGACTTGGTGACTTTGTACTTAGTCCGGGTTTGGTACTTCGGAGGTACATATTGTCCGTCTAGTGTGCTTTCAGGCAAGTAAGCTTCTTCAGTAGACAAGGACATTGCCTTCAGCTACTTCTCCGCCGAGAAATGTCAAACTCGATCAAAATTCGATTGAAAGTCCAAAAAATGTTTTGTTTTTCGATTCTAGAGGTTGCAACAGACACGTAACAAAATTCAATATAATCCAATTTCATGAGAAACATATCCCGTATATTTGTTGCTGATGAAACAAAATGAAAAAATAATCACTGGCGAGGATGATTTACGTCAATTGTGGGTCATTTCACACTTCTGATGCTCCGAGCTTCACTTTCAGAATTCACTGCGAATGCCTCAGAATGGGACCTCACTGCGGCCCAAAAGCGTTTAATGTCGAGTTTTCGCTTCCATGATGTGACTGGAATCCGAAACTCCTCGCCGTCATTTCTTGAGATGGTCTCAATTGTACGCTCGACCAGTCCCTTAAAATAAAAGTAATCGAATATCCACTATTGATCCGAAGCGGGAAAGCACTTTCACTGAGGATATGGGGAAAATGTTTTCAGCAGTCCGCACGATGGACTGAACCTTTACAAGTGTTTAAAGGGGGAGAACTTGTGTTTTTTTCTTATTTTTGATATGATGATCCAGGAATTCGCAGGTGCAATGATCATAATTGAACTACACACTTATTATCGTCTTTAAAATAAAAATAATGTTTTGGTGGTCGAGGACATGGTTGAACACTGGTGCCCTCCACTCGGTTGATTTGGTGTTTTGAATATGAAATCCGACTATCATCTTGATGACGTGAATCGATGGATCCATTGATTGAGAAGTCTGGAGATAGACAAGCATATGTACAAAAAATTCTAAACGCATAGTTACTGCTTGCCAATTTTTAACGTAATCTTGGGGACAAGTTTGCGACCGGATTCTACTCACATGCTGTTGTCATTGATTCAAGCTATGATTCCCGGAAAAAAAGAATGTTCATTAATTGGACAAGACATACTCAAAATTTTGGTGTAACACGAATTCCGTTACTAATATTCACATCACCGTTGACTGAACCGCACATGGTACTGTACGTACAACCGAACCGAACCGAACCGAACAAATCATTCCAATTAACATTTGGATTATTATTTACCCGAAAAGATAATTACAATCTCGAGTCATGAAATGGAGTGCTCAGCAATCCCATCTGCGGTATCCTGGTAGGCTAAGGAATCACTGGCTGGTTTTACACAAAATCCTCCTAGAATCCCTCTCAGAACTGGGCATTATCTCGCGGATCGGAGGCCTAAACCTGGCCGCAATATTCCATATGAGAATGTTCAAGACAGGTGTTGAGATTGAGGATGATGAAGGGCAAAATGTAACGGCCATGGCCTTCTCAAACGGAGGGCACTTTAGTTGATATCTGAAAAGAGAAAACTTTGAGGACCAACTTAGGATTAGTGCCAAGCCCCCACTCCGTTGCTACTACTAAAATCTCATCATGCAAGAACGAGGAAAAGCTAAGAAACTGATTATAGGATTGTATGTACACTCTATAATCTCGCCATGCTAAGGTTGGACTTTGTACTTGCACATACCAAATCAAATTTGTATGCTAACTTTGTTTCAAGGCAGCTATGGTTTTCTAGCATGAGCTACGAGCCGCCCGAATTCCAACCCAGAAAGAATATGTCAATGTGATTGTCCAAGTAGCGGAAAAAAGGCAGTTGCTACAAATTTACCCATGGGTCAAATCTGCCTGGAGGAACCTGAACAAAGGTGTTCCATTTCTTCCGAAAAGTGGGTAGTCTCCCCTTCCAGCCACCACAAAAAATGCTCAAATACATTAGGAGAGCATGCAATTCGCAACCCACCTTCGCATCTCAAACCATACTCTTCTTCAGACTTCGCTAACAGTGCTCTGAAGACGCTGTCGCTGAGGTAAGACATCGGGATGACAAAGCGCCTCCGCTCCTTGCCTACATACACGGGGAGACATCCTCTGGGAACATCATGCATCGAACTAGACCAGCAGTCGTCTTTGCTGTCGTGATTTGAGTCGCTGACACTCTCCCAGGAGTGGTGTGAGCAGCACCAGGAACGCAACGATCGATCGCAGGAGAATGCGGAAGCTATGAATCTTATTCGTCTGGAGTTTTGTGGAGGTACGTGGCCCTTAAAACTTGACGAATGCAACATTTTCCCTAACACAACGTTGATCCACTTCAGTTTCACCATGGTCGATCCAAGCTATGGACAAAAACTGAATTGGTTCGGGCACTGAGCTCCTAATGTCCACTGCAATACACGATACTTGAGAATCCAGCCACGATGGAACAAAGGGAAGCTCTGATGCATGTGTTGACCTACATCTCCACTAGCATGCAGCAAAAGATGAGCTAAAAACCGTCACCTGAGCCACCCAATGCCTAGAACACGAACACTTTGAAGTGGAGAGCGAAACATCGACACTCGCCAACCCTCCTCGATTCTGGAAACGCACCCAGATTTAGAGAAAAATACAGCTTAGACGATCAGATACAGTCACACATTCTCTCCGCTACTAAGTACACCCTCCTGTAAACCCCAAAAATGTCGAAACAAGAGCGAAATTCGCTCGAAGGCGCTCGTAAACACAAACACCATGCTTTCTCTACAACTCGCTACAGTTACCCCGACGTCTATGAGATCCACTCATCCACACTAGATTCAGTCGACTTCACCGCAGTTCCAGGAATTGCGAGACCTCGAGGTGAAAATGAAGGTCAGATCAGACGAGGAGTTGGGTCAAGGCCGGTGTTATCTATAGGCGTTATCGACGACCAACAATGACTGAACAAGCCCCCTTCAGGTACACCCTGCTCGTGGACGACGACGACGACGACGAATACCTGTCTATCTGTCTATCTGTCTGTGAAGGGATCCTGGAAGAATCCGGTAAAAGAGGTCCATACAATCCTGCCTCTCTACGAAGGGGTTTGCGTTACGACGATTGTCTTGCAACGACAAGAGTCTTCCAGGGAGACTACGGCTATTTGTCAACTGCTACGCTTACGCTGATCTCTCTCGCTCTGGCTCTGCGACAACCCCCGCTCTTAGCAAGCAACTCTCTTCTAGCTTTGCGGCACTATCTTCGTACTCCGAATGCCGTAATTTCATCCATCTGTCTGTCCCTACATCCAACTCAACTTTTTTCATTTATCTGTACTTTTCGTCGTCCCAAAGTGCTTTCGTACGTTTCGCCGTACGTTCGAAGAACAATCGTACATCCATCTCGCAATCCATCAAAAAGGTTGATCGTACATCCAATTATTCATCCACACGTTGGCATGTGAAAATAGCATGTGGGTTTCATTTTTACATTCTTAAAACTAATATTTTATTTGGTATTTTGGTATCATTGAGGTTTAGAATATATGTGTATATATATATATATATATATATGTGTGTGTGTGTGTACACGTCTAATTAATCGTTATTCATAAAATTAGAATTATAAAAGTTTAGCATATGCAATTTACATCTTAAAATCATAATCAATATGGTTCAATGAGAAAAAAGATCAAGAATATAATAAGTAATACGAAATTCACAAAAAAGATAAAAGAGTATCACTCAAAAATACATTAAAATTGAATGGCGTAGTCAATGAATATATTTTTGGGTGGAAATTTATTTCAATTATGAAATTAATAATTTCAATCTTGTTTGCTAAAAATTAATTGAAAAGAATAGATTTAATCATTATCCTCTCTAAAATTAATATTATATTAGCAAGCATTCACCTAAGTATATTAACAGTGCATGCAATCTAATATAATGTTATAATTTTGTAAAAAGTCTCAAGTTTTTTAGATATTTCCTATAATTTTACCAAATGATGTAAACTTTGTATTATAATAAATAATCAAAATTACACTTCAAATGCTATAAATAGCAGTTAAAGAAGAAAGAAAAAAAGACTTACAAATATAATTTCTTAAAACTATGTATCTTACTTTTGCTTAAGATATATGTACACAAAAAGATTTAAAAAGAATCTTTAAACGAATCTTTCATTAAAGAAATTATTAAAAAAATATACTTCAAACAAATATTTTCCATACACTCATTGCATTAGTTAAATGGTTTTTGCTGCACTTGAATTTTTATGGTGATAATAAACTATAAATGAAAAAGAGCACTATTTCTAAAGCACTCAGTTCACACTGTTCCCAATGTACAGATCCAATCGGAACAAAGCCCACTCCGGCTGAGCACAAAGTTTCCATCCATATTCGCGTGTCAAAGTGGCGGCCGAAGGAGAATTAGTCGGTGAGCGCCGAGTGTCGGTACGGTAGCGAGTGCAGCAAATCGAGCAATCCATCTCTTCAGGTCTCATGAATCGAGAATGCGCGGCAGCTTCTGTAGCAACTGTCTCAATGCCCCCGGTCTCTCAATATGAAGCAATACTTCCTTTGAGAGCTGCAAATCATCCTATACTCTTACATCAGTGTGATGTGATTTGACGATAAATAGGTCGTAAGTTTCTTTCCGTTTCGTCTACAGCATGCTGCTCTTTCGGCTACCGTTGTTTGGTGATTGTACTTAAGAACCGTACCGGTCCATGTATTTAGTTCTACTTTTTTCTTCCAGTAATCGTCATTGCTCTTTGTGTGATGTAGCTGTCGTCAGGTGATTAGGAAATGGTAGGGAAGAAGTGTAGGACAACCTGAAACCTGGTTTAAGTGCATGCTTGGCAAGTCGTCCTGCTTTAGATATGAATGTAGCCGATCCTCGGGGGGACAACCACCTCATGTGTTGCTTGACTGTGCTGCCATGTAGTCTAGTCACGTCGATGAAGGAGTGGATAAAAGCTTCCCCGACCTGATCCATTCATCTGTTGTTTGAAAGCAGGGAAGCCAGTGAGAGTGGGAAAAGAGAGGTTTTGAACAACAATGCTTTTGAGCGAGTTTCCATTTAGACTTCAGTTATTAAGTAGATGGTTCCTAGAGCCATTAAACAAAACATGGAGCTCGGTACGAGTTCATCGATTGAGATTGTAGCGTCTGGAGGTTCTTAGACCAATGAATTGCTCATTACTTCCGCCATCCTACAACTTCAGAGTAGTTATTGATGCCTCCATCGGTTCACGTTAGATCTGTGGATCGTCAGTTCTTAACGGTAACGCATTCGAGAGAGAGGTGATTCTGTACCGAAAGTGAGAGGGTATTAATGTTAATTCTTTTTGGGGTGGTAGCTTCCATCGTATCAACTGGAAGAACAGATAATAATGAGATAGAACATACTGCATCATACGAAGTTCTCAAAATTCTTCTTACCTCGTATTTTAGGATTAGATTCATTGACCAGTGTGGTCTTTGTGTTATTACTTACATGTCACAGTCTTCTTAGCTTGATTTCAAAACACACTCCAGTTTGAAACTGCCCTGACTCACCGCTCTGCCTTGACAAATGCCGATATCCTAAGCTTACGAGTTGATTTGATATATGAATGACACGGCGAAACGAGAAGAAACTATATATTTTGAATCTCTTTTCAATCTTATCTTCTTATTTCAAACTACGCAAGAAAATCACAATATGGTACGATTTTTGTAATGAGTGTCCTATAAAAAATGTGTGCGGTGGCACTTATTATGTACAGGTTGCAGCCCCAGGGGTTCCTTCCTGCAATATAGTATTAGACTTTTGAAAGACGACTTTGACCTTCCTTTTAATAGGCGAACTTGAGCCAGGTAAATATATGGTGGGTCCTTCCATCCACTTCTGCATTGCTGTTCGAAATGGGTTCCATGGAAACTGTTCATGCCGAGTCAGTGACGAAAGCATGCAACACTTTAATGATGATGAGGATGTGGCAGGCCCGTTTCCAACTCGGAATCTTTTCCAACCCAAACATCTAGACTCCCCCGCTTTTACACCACCTGTGATTGTGGGGTCACACGAGATCAGTAGCGTCATGCAGATTGGCAATATTGAATTCGATAACTATGGCGGTCTCAGCTCAGCCGCACGAAGCACTAGCCAGGTTCGAGATGATGAAGAGATGATGAAGAGCTTGAATTTTTTTGTGAAGGACTACTTCATGCAGGTGAATGCGAGAATGAATGGGCTCTTGAGTGAGCTTTTGATATCCCTACTCGTGGCTATCGATTCCTCTGGACAACCAGGGATCTTGAGTGTAACGAAGTCACATTGAAGTGCTTTTCTTCAGCACTAACTTCCAGTTTAGTTCGCAGATATCACTGGTTCTGAACTCATACTGGCAATGGATGGCTTTGACACAGGCTGAACAGATTCTTCACCCACGACATTGGCCCACTTTCAACGATTTTCAACCACTTATTAACCAGGTCTGTGTGTTTAAATGCTGACGATTTAGATTGTCAACTCATGATGCGTAAGTATATCGACGGCGAAGATGACCAAGTTACCATTCAGCTTGGTTATCAACGGAAACAGTTCTTTCAGTCTCTGATTACAGTGGGAGCATCGGCTCTGGCTACTGAAGTTGCCATGAGCAGTGGTTAAAAGCTTTCAGCATGACTGTCTCACAACTACTGTGTGATATCTCTGCGTTGGTTTTGCCAGCATGGTTGTTTATTTTCCTTGGAAGGGGCTCTTACATAAGCTGTGTTACGTTTACAACTTAACGGTAGTGCTAATAGATTTTCTACTACTTTCACGTAGTTATGGTTATACTTATAAATTAATCACAACCACCTCTCTCTCCCATGAAGAGATATAACATTCACATGATTTTTACGTACTATTTTCTCATTATTAATATCTATTTTTATTATGATTTTTATATGGTATCAACTCATCTTATTTATTCTTCAAACTAGTAATGCAGTTGGAAAACTCCACTTACCATGGGCTTTTGTTACAAGTTTTTTTAAAGCAGCCGAACACAACATTCTAAAAAAAAATTTGTAATGTTATAACGAATGAATAAATAAATAAATAAATAAACAAATAAATAAATAAAATTATACATTTATAAAAAGTGCTGATACATTCTTTAGAGAGACTTTATGGCAAATTGTGTGTTTTTAAGTACATCATATAAATTTTTTCTTAATTGCACTTTTAAACTTATACTATGCATTTATTATAACAAAAAATATTATTGTAGATTTTATATTCTTTAAATTATTATCTAGTATCTCATAATAAGCTATTATTACAAATATATATTTTTAAATTAAAATAATTGAAAATATTGCAATTTAATTATTTTCTTAAAACATGCAAAACTCATTATTTTTTTAGGATTTATTGACACTTCTTCTTAAGTTCGTTGAAAAAAATATTTTTACAATATTTTAATTTGATAATTTATAAAATATCTAATATTTTATTATTTTTAAAAAATAAAAAGAAAAATTTAAATATCTAATATGAAAAGAAAAAAAAAATGACTTATAAATACATAAGAATAAAAATCTATATAACCAAAGTGCCACTCAATCCATTAACAATCAACTTCTACCATTAATCATTCTAAGATTAAATAAAGGAATAAAGAAATAGACCTGATTATATAAACATAATAAAGTATAGCCGAAGATTGTAATAAAAAGCACAACACACAATAAAACAAAAAGCCATAGTAAAGAATCAAACAAGAAATACAAAAGAATGAAGTCATACATGGGAGCAAAACTAAAAAATAAAACAAAAAATAGAAGAAGAATTACAAAATAATAGATGATCAAAGTTAAGATGATTTTTACAAATCATTTTATTCAATTCAAAATTTAATTGAAGTAAAAATAATTCTTTCAATTATGTATATAAAATTTTTTATCATTAGTTACTTTTTATTATATAATGTTTCTTACTATAAATAAAAATAGAAAAATTTGAATTGCAATTCAAAAATTTGAAGCTTATTCCTTCGATTAATATTTTTCAAAAATTATGCTCCATTTTACTCTTATCATCTAAACAAGTTGTATTCTTTAATAATAATTTTGCTTTTGACTTTTCAAATCTATGTTAAATTTTTATGCAACCATTTTCTTTTTTAAACCAAGTATAATAGTTTTTGTAGAAACCAATCATACCAATAAGTGCATCAGACACCACCATAAATG